CAAGTCAAATTCGCAGAACCGGAACACCCCTATCCTGAAGGAGTCTCCCAAGACTGGATCAGGAAGAACGGCAAACGATTCCAGGAAGACATGCGAAACAAAAATCGACAACAACGACGGGCAGTCTATAAACAACATAACAAAGAAGATACGGACGCAGCCCTTATGCTCACGAAACTCGGACAACAACCCGAAGAGGAACAACGAAGTTTCGACGACACAAGCTCTGAAGAACAAGACACGCTACAAGAAACAGAAGACGAGGATGAACTCGCACCACCACCCTCACTACTAAGGAAAACGCCACGATTGGAGAACACGCTCCATACTTCGAAGAATTCGAAGAAATGCTCAAAATTGGAACTCAACAAATACCTCAAATTCTCACGGAAAACCAACAAGCTGCATTGATTCGATACCAACCGGCACCACGCGGAGGAGACTACGCTGTGGCTATCGCCGCAGTCGACACCTTTACAGCCCTACAACGAGAATGGCAACCACGAGGAGAATTTTCAGATGACCCAAGAACAGTGCTCAGTCACGAAGAGCACAAACATATTTCATGGATCTCATGCGTCTATTTGGACTGCATGATACACTTCAGATGAAGGCACGACACGACGCCTTCCCAGTCAGATTCGACGGACAAATACTTTCGAAACCCTACCTAAGCACGGAACTGGACTACTGGAAAATCGATCAACGTTACCCGAACGACCAAGTCATGTTATTGGAACCCGATTACGGCACGCCACTTGAATGCCGCGATGATTACGGTTCTTTAACGAGATGTCTTTCGGAAACATGCAAAATCCACAAACACGCCAAAATTGGGGAATGGCACAACGCCACTCGCTCTAAGGCATCCGAACCATCTATCTTCACAAGACTCGCGCAACGAATCAGATGCGACGAAGAAGATTACAACGAATGTGCACACCCGAACTGCAAAGTTCACGAACACGAAAAGGCACGAGCATGGCACAAACGACACAACGGTGCACCAAAGGACTACTGGCGACACCTACGAAGGCTACAAGCTACATTCGACCAAGGAAAAATTAACGCAGAAGAACTACGCGCAAAACAGAAAGACGCAGAACGAAAACTCGATTCCTGGTACGAAAACGAACAGAATTGCGAAGCACGGTACGCAATCAACTGCGAAGCAGCACAATGCAAACAACACAGCGTTGAGAAACAAGAAATCTTCGATTGGCTACAAGAAATCAGTCTCTTGAGCCCCGACACGACACCACGCGACGAAAACATAAAGAAACGATATCAACAACAAATCGAAGAAGAATACCCAAATGAAACGAATAAGGACCAGGCAAAAAACGAGGTACGCCATCTGTAAAAGGGCTACAGACTGGCACGACACGACAAGATCCAAGGACCCTATGCATGGCAACGGCAAGCCATGGCAACCAAATGGTATTGGACATCCAAATCGCGGGACATCACGTACACGCACTATTGGATTGCGGCGCGATGGGCAATTACGTTTCACCTAGAGTCATCAATCGTTACCGACTCCCATGGAGACACAAGAAAGATCCATATGAACTCACGAATATCGAAGGAGAGGCCTTCAACTATAACAACGGAATCATTGATATGGAGATTGATCACCTCGACATCAATATCCAGGGCCACGACGAACGAGTCGACTTCGACATCATGGACATTGGAGAACACGACCTTGTGTTAGGGCTTCCATGGTTACAGGAGAGCAACCCACTGATCAACTGGAAAACTGGCCAGCTGCGTTGGAACGAAGACGCAAGTTTCCAAGACCAGCAGATTTGGGAGAAAGCAAAATTTTGCGATGATTTAGCCACTGAACAGGACGAAAGGGATGACCGTTCAAGCAAATCATTACGGGCTTCAGCGATACAAACGAAAACAGCAACCGAACCGGCGGACACAACAAAATCGACTGACAAGACCCACGTACTGACCAACACGGCTGTACAACCTGGCATCCGACATAAACAGAACAAAGGACACAACAAGAAGATCCGAAGAGTTATTGCCACTCTAAGGAAAGACCTCGAACAAATCAACAAAGAGCTCGAGTCAAGGAAACCAGCTCTCAAAAGAAAGAACAAAGCCCACAAGACAGAATGAAGAACATCCCACAGGAATACCGGAAATACGACAAACTCTTCAAGGAAGAACTCGAGACAGGGTTACCCGAACACAGTCAATGGGACCACGAAATTTGTCTCAAAGATGGAAGAACGCCGACGTTCCATAAGATTTACAACCTAAACGAAAAGCAACTGCAAACGCTACGCGACTACCTCGACGAGAATCTACGAAAGGGATACATACGAACATCAACATCCGAAGCAGGCTACCCAGTCATGTTTGTTCCAAAGAAAAACGGCAAGCTACGACTAGTTGTCGACTACAGACGCCTAAACGATATTACAATGAAGGACCGAACACCATTACCGCTTATATCGGAACTACGAGATCGACTGCACGGCAAAAAATGGTTTACGGCCCTCGATCTCAAAGGCGCCTACAACTTAATACGCATGAAAAGGGACACGAATGGATGACAGCTTTCAGAACGAAATTCGGACTATTCGAATATCTGGTAATGCCATTTGGACTCACAAATGCACCAGCTACCTTCCAACGGATGATCAACAATGTCCTACGCGAACACTTGGACATCTTTGTGGTAGTATACCTGGATGATATCCTAATCTTCTCGGACACCCTAGAAGAACACAAGGAACACGTCCACAAGGTACTCCGCGCACTTCAGAATGCGAAGTTACTGGTTGAACCAGAAAAAAGCAAGTTCCACACACAGGAAGTAGATTTCCTCGGACACACGATCTCACCAGGAGAGATACGAATGCAACAAGACAAGATCAACTCAGTCAAAGAATGGCCAACGCCAAAGAACGTCAAGGACGTACAAAGTTTCTAGGATTTGCGAATTACTACCGACGATTCATCAAAGATTTCGGAAAGATTGCAACACCACTACACGACTTAACGAAGAAGGAAAAAGAGTTTACATGGGACGACAAAGCCAACGAAGCTTTCGAATGCATCAAAACGACGATTACGCAAGAACCGGTCTTAACCACCTTCGATCCAGAACGACAAATCGAACTCGAAACCGATGCATCAGACTTTGCTCTAGGAGCACAAATCGGACAGAAGGACGATGAAGGAAGACTACGACCAATTGCATTCTACTCGAAAAAGCTACATGGCGCAGAACTCAATTACCCCATCTACGACAAAGAATTCCTCGCAATCATTCAAGCTTTTAAGGAATTTCGACACTACCTTCTCGGAAGCAAACACAAAATCAAGGTCTACACAGATCACAAAAACATCTCACATTTCGCGACGACGCAACAATTGAACGGACGACAGATCCGATGGGCCGAATGTCTATCAGAATTCGACTACGAAATAATCCACAGAAAAGGAACAGAAAACGGTCGAGCTAATGCCTCAGCCGACGATCCGACTACGACACAGGAGCACCTATTGTGAAAGGACAACTCCTTGAGCTCAACAATGAAGGAATATGCAACAACGACAGCTTAACGCAATCTTCAAGGTCAATCCAGACGAAGGCCTTACGAAGAAGATCCAACAAGCCTACGATAAGGTTGATTGGGAACCACTTCCAGTTGTTTGGGAAGATGGCCTGGCAAAGCATCAAGGAAAGATCTTTGTACCAGAAGAACTTCAGGACGAAGTTATACGCGAAATTCACGAACACCCGACACACGGACACCAAGGAATCCGGAGGACGATGGAAAGAATTCGACGAATCTACGACTTTCCACGGATGAAGAAACGAATCAGCGAAACTATCAGAAAATGCGAACTTTGCGCACGAAGCAAAGCTGAACGACACAAGCCATACGGAGAATTACAACCACTACCAGTACCAGAAAAACCATGGGATTCAATAGCTTTCGACCATGTCACGAAGCTACCACTGTCAAAAGAACCCATGACCAACGTCAAGTACGACAGCATATTCGTCATTACCGACAGATTGACGAAGTACGGATACTTCTTGCCGTACAAAGAAGCAAGCAATGCAGAAGAGCTAGCATATGTGTTCCTACGAACTATTGTCAGCAATCACGGACTACCGAACGAGATTGTCTCTGACAGAGGAAGCACATTTGTGGCCAAGTTTTGGCAAGCTCTCATGGCACAATTGGGGACGAAACATAAGCTCAGCACAGCTTATCACCCACAAACAGATGGACAAACAGAACGACTCAACCAAACGCTTGAACAATATTTACGATGCTACATCAGCTACGAACAAAACGATTGGGTTAAATGGCTACCGACGGCACAACTAGCTTACAACAGCTCAGTCACAGAGACAACCAAGCTCTCACCAGCATACGCCAATTACGGATACAACCCAGAAGCATTCAAGGTCACTCGACAAGGACCACAAGCGGAACGAGCGATACTGCAAGCAGATCAGCTACGAAAATTGCATGAAGAAATGCAACAAGAACTTCAATTCGTCAGAGAACGAATGTCCACTCACTACAATCGGAAAAGATTGCAGGGACCAATCTTTCGAGAGGAGACATGGTCTACCTCGTACGACGAAACATCAAAACAAAACGACCAAGCAACAAATTGGATTTCAAGAAACTTGGACCGTTCAAGGTCAAGAAAACCATTTCAAAAGTCAACTACGAACTTTCGCTACCAACAACAATGCGGATACACCCGATATTTCATATCTCATTATTGGAACCAGCACCACGAGACGCCAAACCACAGGACAAAATCGAAGTCGACGATGATCAAGAATACGAAGCCGAACAAATACTGGATACAAGAAGACAAGGTCAGCAACAAGAATACCTTGTTAAATGGAAAGAATACGGACCAGAGGAAAATACCTGGGAACCACTCAAGCACCTGACGCACTGCGGCTCCCTACTTCGGCAGTTCCACCAACGAACCCAAGGTCAGCCAGAAAAGACGGAGAGCGCTACCTCGGGGTGGACAGCGTCCCAGTCTCCGACAAACTCCGAAGGCAACCGATCAGAATGAGGGGAACACGGCTGCACCTCACTAACTCGACGCTGCTCCCTCTCCGCTTCCTCGCGCTCGACGCGCTCCAACTCCTCGACACTATCAAGACCACGAGAAACCGCCTGCATCATTCTCTCGAACCACATCTTCTTTTGCTTCCGCAACCGCTCCACTTTGGCATCCAACTTGCGACGCTCCTCCTCCGCAGCCTCGAGCTCAGACTCTATTTTTTGGTGCTGTGCGCCAATCTTGCGGAGCTGCTGGACCGAAAGCCCCTTGGCATCGCAGTAGGATAGGTTCAGGCGAACGCAGTCATAACAACGTGACGAGTCGGACACCGATATTTGGCAATCCGTGAAACCACGAGAACGGCAAGACGAGCATGCTTCAGGCATGATGGCGGAACTTCCCAGTATAACGCCGAGAAGGGCGTTGCGCTGCTCTGTCTTGGAAGAACGAGGTTTGAAGCGATTCTTAAGAACACGGTCAGACGGCATGACGGGCCATGATGATGAAGGAAGGAAAGAAAACACACACACTCACGCAGAAAGACAGCCAGGATACGCGACACGGCGGCTAAAGCAGGTCTTGAGGGCAAGACCAAAGAGGGAGACCTGATGTTACGACCCGACCAACGGTTGGTCACAAGCAGCCCTCAACAAGGCCGACACGTGACGGAGGTACAGGATCCCGCGAAGTCACGTGATGGATCATTTGGATCACTTGGTGATCCCAACGATCCAGCTCATTGGATCATCTCGATGATCCAACGACGATGTACAGGATCATTGGATCGTCTCAATGATCCAACGATCCGTGAACAGGATCATCACGTTCGCTGAATGATCCACGAAGGACCACTGGGTATATAAGGACACCCAATTCCACTCCTTTAGACTAGATAGCTCTTTAGCTTTCAACACAATCATTACGATCCCTATCACGATCTCATCTCTGATTCCGATCACTTGATTACCTGGTTACAGTCTACGGTCTACGACCTCCGACTCATCACCAACGTGACATACTTATCATTGCTCAGACCACGCCCTGTTGTATCTGCCAACATAAACCCCACGACAGGTTTATCCCTTGGGAATATCACCGGTCGTCACATAATAAAGGATCTTAGTATTAGATTATACTATAAAGTTTAATTAAGTTACCTTAAAGCTTAATTAAGATAACGAACCTCTTATATTATAATTCTATAATAAGCTTAAAGAAGAAGTTAAGAATAAGCTTTATAAGGAAAATCGACCTAATAACCTCTTAGACTATATTATTATAGTAGTACGAATTAATAATAAATAGTATATATAATAGTAAGAAAAGAAAAAAAGAAAGAGGAAACTAAAACCCTTTTTATAGGAATAACTTTAACTAATATATTAACTATAAGAAAAGATATAAAACTTTTATTACTTATACTTATATAACTAACCTAAGTAAGATAAACCTAAATATAATATAAAAAAGTAAAGGAAAGTATTTTAACTATAGGAAACTTAGATATTACTTTAAGGAATATAAATAACCTTATAAGGAGACGAAAACCTATTAGGCCCTAGCCCTAAAATATAGGAAATACTTAAACGCTACTAATAAATAAGAACTAAAGTATACGCTCTTTAGTTAGACTATATATTATAATAATAAATATATAGTATACTTAAGCGATAAGAACGGTATTAATTAGTTCTTAAAGCTATTAAGGAAAGCTCTTATAATAATATAATAAAGGGATCTTAAAATATAAAAATAAGTTAAATTTATAAAACTAAAATACTCTTACCTTAAAGGAGTCTCCTAAAACTAGATTAAGAAGAATAATAAACGATTTTAAGAAGATATATAAAATAAAAATTAATAACTATAATAGGTAGTTTATAAATAATATATAAGGAACGGTGTTCCTACTATAAATAAAGCAGCTATAATATACTCTCCCGATTATATAAGCTAATAAGTAGTATATTAATTATAGACAAAATCTTATCCTATAGAGCAGGAATCGCTCGTTATTTTGCATGTTATTATGCATTAATCGGGTTGCCGGTTATCGTACAATCGGGAATCGAAGGAACAGAGCTAGCTTAGAATGCTAGCTAAGACCTCTTAAGAACACCGGCACGACCAACCTCCTTTAAACACGAATATTAGTAGAACCAAGACACTTCTAGATTCACTCGAGGTACCACGGAATTTCCCAGTCTCGGGGCTATACGGCAGCCTAAATCTAGTCCCGAAAGGTTCTTCCGTTTAGCTATAATTGTCTATATAAGACAGCATGTCCGCTAGTAGATAGATTAAGTATTATTAACTTTAACACCTCTTCTATACACTAATACACTACTAATAAATTCCGTTGAAAATCCTACCTTATACTCCTTCTTCCCCTCTATTACTTAGTCTTACGTAATTCCTTAATTTCCTAAAATTCCGCTTTTACTCATTTACCTTAAGATAATATAATAAAAAAGATAGAGATATAGCCCTTATACTTATAAAACTTAGATAATAACTTAAAGAGGAATAATAGAATATCGATAATATAAGCTTTAAAGAATAAGAAATACTTTAAGAAATAAAAGATAAAAACGAACTTATATTACTATCTTTACTATTAAGGGAAAAAACTAGAATTAAAGAATACGCTTTATACTTTAAAGAATTTAAAGAAATACTTAAAATTAAAATCTAATAAATACCTTAAATTCTTATAAAAAACTAATAAGCTATATTAATTCGATATTAACTAGTACTATATAAAGGAGACTATATTATAGCTATTATTCTCGCGAAGAGAGATGCGAGAAGTATATAAAAATGCACGAAGGTGAAATTAAAAGTAAGGGGTCGGATAGGCAGGGCAGAGAGATTTGATTCTTACGGGAGCAGCAATTACGGTAGGGGAGTGATTATTATATTGCCTTAATTGTCCTTTTTTCCTCTATCTAACGCCCCTCTTTATACCCGTCTAGTATCTTAATTAATAAAGAAGATCCTGCTTAAAGAAGCTACTAATGTCCTTTCGACTACCGAGCTTTTTGCCGGTTTTTCCCCTCCTTTCTAGCCGTTGCCGGCCTATCCGTCTTATCTCTCGCTACCTCTATAGGAAGCTATCGCTACTTCTGCTCCCCCTTATGCCCCTACCCTCCTTTCTGCACCTCTTTTTAGCTCCTTCTTCCTTCTTTTATACCGGGTGTTTTTAGCTTCCTTGGTCCCTCTTACTAAGGGATATCTCCGAGAACTGCGAAATCAGGCCACGCTTCGCGACATACCCCCTTAGCTATGGCCTGCCCTTATAGTAAGGGCATAGCTAATACGGCTTCGGGCTAGTAAGCGTATAGAGGAGGTTCTTAGCTCTATACTTCTCCCTTTACTCGAGGAAAGTAGGGGCCCTTTCGGGTCCCTAGGCTCTTTTAGACCTACTTAAGGAAAAGGGGCCTAAAGAGGGGAAAGTCCTATAAGAAAGGGGAGCCTTCTTAGAAGGGAAAAAACCCAATTAAAATAGGGGGCCCTCTAAAGGGAAAAACCTCTTCCTTTTCTTCGGCTATAGACGTTACCTTCTCGTACGTACTATTAGCTCCTCTCGTAGACTCTTAAGGCGGGCCTTTAAGGATAGCTTCTCTCGAACGTCTTCTAGCCCTATTTGCTATAAAAAGATAGCTAGCTTCTACTTCGGTAGGGGCTTCGTAAGACCGTCGGCTTTTATTAATGCTATTAGAACCTAACGGACGGAAATAAGTCCCCTTTAGACCTCTTAGCGTAACTAATGCTAGTAGATATCGATATACCGTAGCCGGGTCGATAGCTTACTGTTTTCCTCCGTAAGAATTCGTATAGTCTATATATTATCGCATTCTATAGCTAACGGGGACGGAATTTACAGTCGTAACGATATTAGTAGCCGGCTAAGGAAAATCGCTTCTTTTAACGCTTCTAAAAGAGCTAGTAACTCTGCCTCTATACTAGAAGTCGTAACGGTAGCCTACTTCGAAGCTTTCTAAGCAATAGTTCCTCTAAAAAGGGACATAATATACCCTTATAAGCTCTTTCTATCTAAGGAATTGTCTGCAAAGGACGAATCGCTTAAATAAAGGAAGATTTCGGCAGCTTGTTTCCTTCCCTGCCCTCCTAGGCGCAGACTATATAATCTCGTTAAATAGAGATAAAGGATAGCTCTGTCTACTGCTTCTTAATGCCTAGGGCTAGGATTCTAGTTATGCCTAGCTAGCCGGGAGACCGTAAAAGAGATATCCGGTCTAGTAGAAATAGCTAAAAAGCAGGAGCCTACCTTCTATTAATATTAGTGTTTCTCTTGCTCCCTAGCTTAAAAGGACGGATTAGGTAAAAGCTCTTTATCTAATATAGGCGTAGAGGGAAGCTTCTTATCGAGGGAATTAGGGAGGAATTTATAAGCGACCTTATCGATATAAGCGTCTTAGGTAAGCTAGATAGTCCGTTAGGACCTATTCCGAAGGATTCGTATCCCTAGGAACTACTTTAGCTCCCCTAGCTAGGTTATCTTATACCTTTATTGTAGGCTACGTATAGCCTCCCTTATAGTAGCTTCTTCCTCTTTCGGGTATGCCTAGATAATATCATCGACGTAGAAGAAGACCGTGATTTTACCCTTCTATATTATACACGGTTCCTAAGGGACTTTCTTAAAGCCTAGGGCTTCGAGGGAACCTATTAAATGCTGTTGCTAAAGAAGGGGTGATCTTCGTAGTCTATATAGAACTTTCCTAAGCTATAGAACCTTTCCTAGTTATTAGAAGCTTAGTAGAAGGCGTATATAGACAACTTCTTCTTCCTCGAGTAGGCAGTTAATAAAGGCGTTAACTGTATCTATCTAATCGAGCTCGAGGTCGAATTCTACTGCTATAGCTATAAGGGTCTGAAAAGACATCCCTACTAGGGTAGTCGCCCTAGTAGGAAGATCCCCTTTTTCCTACTAGTTCCCGTAGATAACTAGCCGGGCTTTATACTTTTAAAGGAAGCTGTGTTTATTAGTCTTATAGATAAAGACCTACTTATAGCTAAGGACCTATTTTCCTCTTGCTTTTTCCTTTAGGACCTCTACGAAAGACCCTATCTCTTTGTGTAAGGCTAGGTGGTCTTTCTAGGCCTAGAAAAACTGGTCTCTAAAGGGGTGTCCTTCTAGCTGCTTCTGGTTTGCTGGTGGGTCCGGGAGGTCTCTTTTATATACCTTCCTTGCTGATATTGGCTTGAAAAGCCGGCCTGCTGTGAACGCTCCGTGGGAACCGTCTTCTATTAGCGTTGGGTAGAAGTCGGAAAAACGATCGAAATAGGGGAGAAACTAGTCTTCTTTCGTATCGGGCCCTATACCTTCCTTTGCTTCTCGAAGCAGGGATAAAAAGGCAGCCTAGTAATCCTTCGAGAGAGGTGCCTTTCCTACCCCCTTAGGGGTCGAGACGGGAAGACTAATAGAGAAAGCTGCTTCTAGATCTTCTTCTAGTTCCGTAAG